GTCGGCCTGTCTCCGAGGCCGTCGGGAGTCAGATTAGATAAGCTTGATTCTTGTTTTTTCTTCAGGCAGACAAATTACTTTTTTCTTCAGCCTTGAGTCTATCTGGGCATTCTGGTTCCGAAAATGCCTAATTGTGGGATTCCATTCTACTGATCCATGCTATGAGTCTCCTTCAAGGTCGAACCCACCACGCTGACGAGTCCCAGATGCCGCAGTTGGCCTGCGATTCTCAATCGCCTCCACCTTACGGTTAAGCTCGTAAACCAGACGATTTAAAGTTCTCACAGCAAGGACCAGTCCTTCACACTGACTCAGAAGCTTTTCCATGGCCAAAACTGCTCCCGCCATCTTCTTCAAAAGTCGATAAAACAGAGCCCCACCGATGTCAAAAGCAGGGTCCCTGCTATCATAATTTCAAATATATAAACATCTTCAACATCCTCCTGAGACAGGACTGAGACACATCATCTGCCACACTCCCCACAAATCCATGACGTACCCCACAGCATGAGTCTCAGCTGGACACGCCGGTTCTCCAGGACCTTGTCGCTTTGATGAAAAATCTTATAAATAGAGTTGAACGCCCACGATACCAAATCCATAATCTTCTTAATTTAAACAAGTCAAGTGAAGAAATTGTACCATTTTTTGTAGGAAAAATAATGCAATTTTGAATTTTATGCCTCATATCTCATTTTAGAGGATGATATTTTTTTCGGGAGTCCCAAGAATCATGAGATTCCCATGGGACTGGAGTCAACTTTATTAATACTCACGTGATTGGGTTGGGACGGGACAAAAAGTTAATGGGAGCAGACGGGAGCTGGAACCAACCAATAAAATGAAAAAATAAAAACCTTCTGTCACGTTTTGGTGTGGTTCAAACCCAAAGGTGCAGGCAACATGATGACTCGACAGGGAAAATAACAATGTTTAATATAAAGAACACAAAATAGCTGACAGGGCAGCAAACTTACATACACAGGGAATCACTAGGAACTCAGGAGACAGAGGCAACAGGAGACAATGCCAGGACAAAGATAAACACAAGGACACAGACTTATATATACAGGGAGATGATCATAAACACATGTATGACACAAGGGTGGAATCAATCAAGACAATTAGCAGGGAGACCAGGGAGTGTAGAGATGGGGACCCGCAGGTGGGCGGAGGGAGGAACTACAAGGAAGGGGGCATGACGAAACAACAGGACAAGAAAACAAAAACTGACAGGAAGAGGCCTGGGTTCTGGGGTGGTATCGCTCCTGGGCGGGGTTC